CTAGTTGTAGTAGCTATTTAAATCTAGAATATTCTGCATTAAGTATAAAGTTGGGTGGACCCAAAAAGGTCTAATGCCTAAAAAGTGCATGTAATTTCCAGTTTCCATTGTCTTAGGAAGCTTTATTTTCCTTATATAAAAATGATACAAAGCACAAGCACCCACAGGAATATAAATACAAATATACATATATATTAATTTGCAAAAGATACATGTAGCATGGTTTTCGCAGACATTATTTTAGTCCTTTAACCTTGGGACACCATACCAATGTTGTACCAGCTGACTTCCACCAGCATTTTTTGTCTAATTACTTTTCTTCCTTAGTGAAGTCTATTTTGCCACCTTTACTAGGTAGGACAGGCAAAAGAATAAATACCCTTCTTTCAGTAGCCTTCAATCAAAGACTGATGGTTAGAATATGAATCCTTGCATCAGATCCCTTATATCTTTTATTCCTTCTATGTTAACCTTGAAGTAGGGTAACTCAAAGGAGCATGTCCTGCATGCAAGTGGAAAGCTCTGGTCACTCTTAATGGCAGTTGTCTATATTAGCTCCTCTCTTTCATTTTCAAAGTAACTTTCATTAAAATCCTTGTTTATGAAAGAACCCAAACTCTGTTTGGGGCTTGATCTGTCATACAAGTTTTTAAAATGATCTGCAGACCTAATAGATATGTTAAAATGTAGATATATATTTGCCATAAAATTACAACAGCCTATTTTAAAAAACTGAAGGCCACCATTAATTTTGCTGGGATATGTTATCCTTCTAATATATTTTTTAACCTCTCTCTCTCTCTCTCTTTTTAAAGATTTATTCATGTATTTATACAAGCACTGGGTACAGTCAGAAGTGCGGAAGGGTGAGAGAATTCACCAGAGTCAGAGTGGGGAACAGAACAGGCAAACCGACTAAATACGCTGTACTGCTGAGGGGAGCAGGGGGCACAGCAGGAGAGGTCTGCTGTGCCATGTGGGACCCTCGCTGGCGGCCGGGGATCGAACTGGCGCTGCAGAGGCTGAGGGCAGCTTCGCAGCCCAGTGCTCAACCGATGCGCCACCAGGGGAGGCCCTCCTTCTAATATTTTGAGAGAAGTCACAAAAATAGTAAGAGATGTCTTGGCTTGGTATCTATTGAAAATTGCTAATAGTGCCTATCCAGTTAATCTTTTAGAATTTATTCACAAGATAAGAAAGGTTTGGTCAAAATATTTCCTTATTTTTTATTAATCTTAAAAAAGAGCAGATTCCATAGTCTGTTGGTCACCAAATTCATCATTCATCTAGGAAAATGACTCCTTGCATAGCTCAATCAACCTCATCTAAAATTCAGCACAAATCTAAGACTTCAAGCTGCCATCCCTACTCCTGTTTCCATGGGAATGGGCCAGATCAGAAACAAAAACTGGATGGGGTTAGGAGCTTTCAAGTAATCATTCAAAATCATGATGAGGTTTTTAGAGCTTCTTTCTTAGGTGATTATTTTGTAGCCTCTTAACCCCCTTTTTCCAGTCTGTTTCCATGGAAATATGACAGAAATGACTGTCCAAGCTGCTAGCAGAGATTACTAGCATTCTTGTGAATTTCAGCTTTGGCTGTCATCTAGGCTGGGCAAAATCTTCTTTCTATCATTTTCACATATTAACCTATACTGTTTCTACTCTCTGTTATTTTTTTATAATTTTTACTTTCTTTGAAGATTGCTTTCACAAATCTACACCTATGATCAATATCAAATTGATTGAGATCACTGAAAAAGACTTCAGTTTCCCATTTTAATACATGAATCAGACAATAGCTGCAGAGAACCATAACTTTTAGAAATAAAGAAGGAAACATTACTTGCTTGCTAAACTGTTTGTTAAATAAGTGTTGGTAGATAAGCAATAAGGTGGTATTTTAAATATTAGCGACCAGTAAAGCAAGGCACCAACTGATCAAAACAGCTAGTTCTCAACTAATTATGCACCAAATTATTGACCATAATTGATAACTAGCTAATTATCAGTCCGTTTATAGAGCCAAATTATTATTATAATCAATAAGATAAAGGATTAGCATCCTACCCAAATAAATTATCCAAGGTAACAAACTAAGCTCCTATAAAACCCACATGGGAGCTTACAAGAAAAACCAGCTTACAAGAAAATCCATCTTATGAAAAATTGAAGTGTACAAGCTTGCATGATCTTTCATATGAAAGTCATTGGAAAATCACAATCATTCTTATTATTGAAGACATTATGTAAAAGATGGAATAGGAACATATATAGGTCTTTTATAGAAACCTTAGATCATGTGTTGAGTGTGAAAAATAATAGCATGCTACATATATAGTATTTTTCTGTCCTACCTTCTAAAATTTGCTGAGTGGTTTACCTACAATTTTTGATAGGAGAAATCTCAAAGTTGTGTTGACCTGATAAATTAATTTTACTCTTTAGAACTTTCTTATTCTTTCCTTGGACCTTATTTTTTGAACCCATTAAGTGTTGAACTGAAAAAAAAAAGTAAATTTTAATGGACAGTTATCTGACTTAGGTTCTTATTTAAATTTAAGAAAGACTGGGTCTCACTAGTGCACAGGGGTTAAGTCTCAGAGCTATTATCACTACAACCTGAGTTTGATCCTGAGTAGGGAGCTAACCCACATGGTGCAGCAGACCTCTCCTGTCTCACCTACTGCTCCCCTCCACAGTGTATTTTGATCAATACACCTGTTCTTCTCCTCACTCTGTCTCTAGTAAAACCTCTCACCCCCTGCATCTTTGGTCCTTACCCCAGTTCGCTTACACATAAAGAAATAAGTCTTTAAACATACAAGGAATCCAAATAGGGAAAGAAGAAGTAAAACTATCACTATTTGTAGACGATATGATAATATACATAGAGAACTCTAAAAACACAGAAAAAGTACTCAAAATAATGAACCAGTTTAGTAAAGTAGCAGGATACAAAATCAACACACAAAAAGTCAGTAGTCTTCCTATACACAATCAATCTGAAGAAAAAGAAATCAAGAAAACCATCCCTTTCATAATTTAAACAAAAAAAAAAATCAAAAACTTGGAAATAAACCTAACAAAAGAGGTGAAGGACCTATACAAAGAAAATTATAAAACACTGTTAAAAGAAATAAAAGAAGACACAAAGAAATGAAAAGATATCCCCTGCTCATGGATTGAAAAAATTAACATTATTAAAATGTCCATCCTACCAAAAGCAATATACAGATTCATTGCTATTCCAGTAAAAATTGCAATGACATTCTTCAAATAAATCGAACAAATACTGATGAAATTCATATGGAACCACAAAAAACCACGAATAGCCAAAGCCCTACTGATGAAAACAAAGAAGAAAGGAGGTATCGCACTTTTAAACTTCAAGCTATACTACAAAGCCATAATAATTAAAACAGTTTGGTATTGAAACAAAAACAGAGACACAGACCAATGGAACCAAATAGAGAGCCCAGAAATAAAACCACACTTATATGGACAACTGATCTTTGACATAGGAGCAAAGAATATGCAGTGGAACACGGACAGTTTGTTCAATAAATGGTGCTGGGAAAACTGGACCACCGCATGCAAAAAAATGAAACTAGACCACTACCTCTCACCATGCACAAAAATCAACTCAAAATGGATAAAAGAATTGGAAATAAGACATGAAACTATAAAATATATAGAAGAAAATATAGATAAAACACTATAAGACATATATTGCAATAAAATCTTTAAAGACTCATCACCCCAAGCAAAGAAAGTCAAGGAAAAGATAAACACCTAGGATTATATCAAACTGAAAAGCTTCTGCACAGCAAAAAAGACATTAACTAAAACAGAGAGACACCCCACTGATTGGGAAAAAATCTTTGCATTCCAGTCAACTGATAAGGGACTAATCACAAAGCTATACAAAGAAATCACATGACTCAACAAAAACAAAATAAACAATCCAGTCAAGAAATGGGCAGCAGAATTTAAAAGACATTTCTCCAAAGAGGAAATGCAAGTGGCCAATAGGCATATGAAAAATTGTTTAACGTCCTTTATACTCAGGGAAATACAAATCAAAACCACATTGAGATACCACCTTACACCAGTAAGAATGGCACATATCAAAAAAACAAGCAACAACAAATGTTGGCAAGTATGTGGTGAAAAAGGAACTCTCCTACATTGCTGGTGGGAGTGCAAACTGGTCCGACCACTATGGAAACTGTCTTGAGGTTCCTCAGTCTACTAAAAATGGAGCTACCATATAAGCTGGCAATTTCACTTCTAGGGATCTACCCAAAGGACATAAAAACACTGATTGAAAAGACCACCTGTACCCCTATGTTTATTGCAGCACCATTTACAATAGGTAAAACCTGGAAACAAACCAAATGCCCAAAAATATATGACTGGATCAAGAAGATGTGGTACATATACACAATGGAATATTAATCAGTAATCAAAAAAGATAAACTCATGTCATTCGCAGCAACATGGATGGAGCTAGAAGGAATTATGTGCAATGAAATAAGCCGGAAGGAAAAAGAAAAATATCAGATGGATTCACTTATATCAGGGATATAGGGAAACCCAATAAGACATTAGTGTGAAAAAATAATAGTACAAAACACAACAAAGCAAAACCAGACAATTATAAATCAGAGACATACTGCAGGGGAGGAGGAGGGAGAGGGATCAGAGGGAGGGAGGGAGAAGCACAGGGGACTGAGGTGATGGTGCACTTGTGCATTGTTGAAGGAAACTCTATGGGGACTACACCTGAGGGGGTGGGGGAAAGCAAATATTGTTTAAAAATGAACAATGATGCAAAAAATAAAAAAATAATTACGTAAGTCTTTAATAAATAAATATTTAAAATAAAAAATAAATTTAAGAGATATATTACGGTGTCATGGTCTTTTTTTTTTTTAAATCCTAAAAGAAGTCTGTTGATAATGGATTAGATGTGATTACCAGGGTGTCTATACTTACATCCATGAATTCCACATTGGCTTTAGGACCAGTTGTTTCATTAAGTATCTTAATAGCCACAGGAATCTTCACTGTTTCTCCTTCAGGTACCCAAATACCCTTTGAGGGAAAAAAAATCACATTAAATTTGTATTAAACATGTAAAACATTTATACCAGATACAAAATTTGATTTGCCAAGTGAACCCTATTAATTTCTTAAAAAAATAATTTGTAAGGCATAATTCTTTCATTCAATCAATAAATATTTATCAAGCATCTGTTGTTATAAGTTATCAGCAATTTTGTTGTCTGCTTTTATTATTTGAAGACAAAGTATATGTATGCTCTGTTTTCAAAATGTTTACAATATTATAAAATTCAACTTGTGTTCATGAAAAATACTAATAAAAACATTGAAATAAGAGAGAATAAAAATATTTGATTTGGATGGCATCAACTTTTCATGAATTTGTAAGGGCTGTTCCAATTTTTTAACTTCAGTTGTTTCCTTTAAAATTAGAACATTGAGCTAAGTAATGCTAAAGGTTCTTTTCAGCTTTAACTTTATCTAATTATTCTGCAACTAAAAGAAGCTATAAAGCATAATTACATGTTCCTAAAGTTCATATTGATTTAAGAAATAATATTCAAAGGTGTTTATTTAAGAATTAGCTTCCAAAGTCAAATACCAGAGTGTTGAATATATATTAATTTGTCAATATTACTATATACTACATATAAAGCATTTTTATTATCTTTGGAACAAAATATTCATATTGGCCATTGATAGTCTTCTCTTTCTAAAATTATAATTTTAATATCTGAATCATATACACTTTTGTAAAACAATGTTACCACCATAAAAATAAATACAAAAATTATATAATTATAACAGATGAAAAAATCTACGCATTGGGAAACAAAGTAGGCAGAATCTGAGTAAAGTATAATATTAAGGTAAATAACAGCATTTTTGAGCAAACATGATTTGAATTAAACATACAGTGAAGTATAGACTATGTAAGATTTCTTTCAAAGTGTTTTGCCCCAAAATAACACAGAAACAAACATGAGGCTATATGAAAAAAATCTCAACTTTTAATTTGTCACTGACATCAAATTAGGCCACTTTTAACATTCAAATCAAAGGAAACAAAAATAGACTGTTCTTGAAAATAAGCTGCTTCTTTTCACTTTGTACTTCTATGCTAAAACATACGTATTAGTATCACCCAACGCTGCATTAATATTAGAAGATATCTAAACACAAGAATTATTAAAAAGCCAAAATAATAAAGAAAAATGCCTTTAACTTTTACTAGATGAATTTGTTCCTAGAGCAAATAGAGAAGTTTATGTGTCAAAAGCAAAATATCAATCAAATTTTCTGTTATAAAATCTAAAAAAAAATAATGTAGAAAAGAGGGGACAAATACCCAATGACCCAACCTTATATTTTGTCACTGATGGTATCTGGGGCTATAAACATATTTACCATCATTGAATAAAGTAACCACGGAGGGGGTTACTTTATAAAAATATAGAATCAAAATTAAAATATGCATAGTTTATTTTTGAAATAAGAATATAACTTCAGTGTGAATTAATTTTACTGCTTTTTAAAATAAGTATAATTACTGTTTTTCTAGGCCCAATCAGAGAAAAACTCAACTTTGCTGCTACCCATGACATTGTTTAAAATATTTTATACTTAAACACAGTTTATCTCTAGCTAGGAGGAAAAATTAACCAAATGATCAGCTATGCCAATTTGCATTTCTGTCATCAGGAATAATTATAGCTTGAGACAATATATCCTCCTAAGAACTAATATACTGATTAAAGCTTAGGTCAATAATATATACTCCAGGCATAAAATTCAAACATATTTAAGGAACTTTCAATATAAAAATTTTGATAACAGTAAAACATTCTAGACAATAGTCACCAAGTTGCTCTTAATAAAAATATTAATAGAGATTTATTATTGAATGTCTAAATGGGTGATTTTTTTTTCCTGCTGAGGTCACTAGATCATATTTAGCAATGAGATATAAGGTAGTATCTTTAAATATATAAGGATAGTTATACAGTAAAAACAACCCAAGATTGAGGTATCTTTAAATGTAAGTACATTTTTCTAGCATAATAAAAAAAGGATAAATATTCTGTGAACACACAAAAATTTTGAGGTTGAGAAGGCAAGTCTGCATAGAATCGTTCTTATTCAAATTAGAAGCTCAATTAATTCTGAACTTCATTTAACAAAATATGCATTGGAAAATAGATTTACAAAGTTTTACACTTTGTCTTTAGAATAAGTTATATTTGAAAGAGACGTGATTATTTTTGAAACACTCAGGAGAGAAAATTAAAGTTTATATATAATTGTGAAAATTTTCTATTAAATTTGTTTTAAATTATAAAATGAATATTTTAAAATGTAAAATTGCTAAGATCTGATATATTTTAACAGCTATGCTTCTAAAATAATGTAAATTTGCATGTAATTTCAAGGGTTATATGAAACCACCAAAGTAAATTTGGGGAATCATAGCAATGGACTTTATAAGGAGAACTGAACACTAACCCATCAGAATTCTTTCTTCCTGTTATTTGCTATTAAAAGTAAATTTCACTGCAATTAACCTTGAGTTTGGCCTCTAAATTGATTTTGTAATTAAGGAAAATAAGCAAACATGAGCATACTATCATTTGAGAAATAACTCTTACTAAAAACCTATGATGTCACCCTTTCCTTCTATCTGACCAGACTTTCACAACGAAATGTATTTTTTTTTTTCAGTTTGCACATAACGGTGAGGACATCAAAACTGGAAATCATCTGATTATCTGTTAAATCATATTACCAGGTAAGCAACAAGTGGTTAGGAGCTAGTGCTATTCTATTAATGCATCAGCACGGCTGTGTGAATTTAAAAGAGATCTGGTAGCAGGGGCCTGATGGTGAATAAAAGAGCAGCTAAAGAACAAGGGTGTTGCACATTAACTCCCCTCCCACCTCTGTCACTAGGACTGTCTGTGTTTCATGGAGTGCAGTATAGAGGCCATGGGTAACAGGCTAGAGTTAGAGATCTGAGTATTTTGGACAAAGATTTAAGTTTGTGAAAGGGGAGATGACATTGAAAGGAACTCGGCAGGCCATCAAGAGATGGACTATACTTTATCTCAGTACCAGTGTTTCTTGCCTTCTCATGACTATATACTATGGCTTGTTCAAAAATATTAATGAATTGATTTGTGCAGCCACTTCTCAACACTATTAAGAACTTTCTCTCTGAATATTACAAGGAAATTAAGTTGGCTATAGCAATTACTCTGGTTATTATTTTTAAAAAGTCTGAAACAAAATTTACAACAACTGATGGTATGTGCTATTTTTTAACTTACTTTATAAACGGTTCCAAAAGCCCCCGAACCAAGTACTTTTACTCTTTTAAGCTCAGTTTCTTTCAAAATCCGAAGTTGAGCTTGATTGGGTGCTGTGCCACTGGGAGTTAAGGGTTCTACCAACTGCAAAAAGAAGGAATACAGGTTAGTTATGCAACTTTCAGTTCAGCAAATCAACTGTCTCTTTCCGGTTCTCTTTCTTACACATACAAAAACACACACACACACACATACTTTTCCTTGACAATATTTTTATAATATCAACCACTCACCGTGTATTTAAACACAATTGTTTCTCCTTTTATACTCTTTGTGTGGGTGAACACAAGTAACAAATGTGAACCTACCTCAGACATAGTAGGCATACTAGTATTTGATCGATAAAAAAAATAAAACATTGTAGTCTTAGCACATAAAATCTCACTGAGAAGCCATATAAACATATCAGAGTTAACGAAAACACCCAGCACAGTGCCAATACCTCAGGACAGAGTTATAAAACTTTAATGTACCTATGAATTAACTGAGGTTCTTGTTAAAAAGTAAATTATGGTTCAGTCAGTCTGAGGTTCGCCTGAAATTTCCATTTTCATAGAACTCCAGATGATATCTACCTATGATGATGGTCTTTGAATGTATTTGAAGTAGAAAGGCCCCACAATACCTTCTAGGTCAAAAATTCTAAAAATTTTATGACTTGATACTAGATCATAAGTAAATACTAAGGAATGAGAAGAAATAAAAACAACCATCCAGGTGTGAGTTTCACCTGTTTTAGCCTCCTACAGGAGCCACACATTAAAACAGGTCTTGAGATAACGAAATGAGTTGGCCTGTGGCACAGAACACTGCTAGGTGGAGCATGGGTATGGCTTTGTGGGAATGGCGGAGCACACAGGGGACTCTAAGCACACAGAGTTCTGAAGGGTGAAACTGAGGTGAGAAATCAGATCTTGAGGTGGGCTATGTGCAGACAAAAGGAATAAAATTATTTTGTTAATTTTAGATAAACTTGTTTAAATGTAATTCAGCCAGAGAGGATGAGTAAACAAGGGGAAGGTATGTGAGGGTTTAGCAACCCCTAGACTATCTGAGGAAAAACCACATAGACCTGAGAAAGACTCAGGGTATCAAAATGTCTACCTCCCTCCTCTGTTTAAAATTCTACCTTTTCATTTTTGCTTTAAGATAAAACGGCAAGTGAAAGAAACAAGTTTCTTTTTTTTCTTAAAGTCAAATTTAGGAACTAAACACAGACACATCCTTTGCTCTTTCTCAGTATAAGGAAATAATTAAGGGCTACTCCCACTCAAATTGTCTTAAAAACCACCACCGTATTTTAAAATGTCTGTTCAGGAGGCTAAGTGCATGATGGCCCTCCTGTTTGGTTATTATTATCATGCTTCTGTGAACATCATGGTCTACTTAATTAGCTGAAAAACATTGAGTATAGGTAAGTATAGTGATAGCAAAGATTTTGCACAGACAAGAAAAAAAATCAATGTACCGGGCCTATTTTCTAAGAATCTAACAAACGTATTTTCAAATTTATATTGTAAAAATGAATATAAGTGCATTCAAATCACATAAAAGAACTGCAGAAAGAATCACTAAATTCTTGGTTAAATGTGGAAAAGATACTCCCACAGAAATCCCCCTTCATTTAAAAGCAACTCTACTGAGCAGGTTTGTTTAGTAGATTTTGAGGCTCGCACTATATTTTTTTTTAAAGATTTATTTTATTTATACAATAGTTGGGGTACAGACCAGAGGCGTGGGAGGGTGAGAGGATTCACCAGAGACAGAGCATGGAGTAGAACAGGCAGACAGACCTGAAGCACTGCTGAGAGGAGTAGCAGGAGAGACAGGAGAGGTCTGCTGCACCATGTGGGTATCTCCCTGGCTGGCCAGGTATTGAACCCACACTGCAGAGGCTGCAGACAGCTTCACAGCCCTCACTCAACCTGCTGCGCCACCAGGGAGGCCCAGGCACACACTATATGTATCAGTAATTTTTAATCACATATGAGATCATATGTGGGGAGGGGGTTCAGGACTTTGGGATGATTAGACTCCTGCACTTTCTTAGGTGCCATTTAAACATTTTTACACACACATTTTTTTTTTCCCCAAGAGCTTAGTTTCATTTTGTGAGCCAATATGGTAGAAAGAGGATTGAATTTAAATTTGTGGGCTTGTATACTAGTGCTGCCACTCAGGGGCTTAGCAAGGAAATTATCCCCCTGGCTCCTGGTTTCTCATTTGTTAAACAGATATAGAAATGGTCACCTTAGAAGATTGCTAAAAGATGATATGGGATACAGCATAGGTGAAAAACTTTGGAAAATAGGTGCTATGCCGTAAAGGTGCTGAATTTCACTCTTCAAAAGCCTCATGTCTCCTTAATACATTTTTTAATTAAAGCATTTATCAAAGTGTCAGTCTCATAGTGCATCTTAAAAAGTATACATTGAAAACAATATATTTTCTACTTCCATACATCTTACAGAATATATACAATCTGGAGTAAAATGATTTGGGGAAAGCATATCAACATTAGCACATTCCAACAATGTATTACACATTAACAAATTTTTCACTTTTGAGGCACATTTCTAGATTTAGTATTAATGGATTTAAATTGATCCTCTTAAGAATTTCTCTTTTATTCAGATGGTAGAAAATCATAGTTATTTATTCTAATGAGAGAAAGGTGGGAATTCTATAATTATCTCATTTAGTCCTAAGTGATAACTTTCTATAAAAAATAAAATCTGCTTATAAAACTAATCATGTTTACTTACTAATGAAATGAAAATTTGGAGGGTATTCTTAGAAAACACCATATAAAAAAAACAAAACTCTTTCCATAGTAATGAGACTTTAAGAGACAGAATTTCACTTCCATTTAATCACATAAATGTCCAGTGATGAGCCAAGTCTTTATTTTCTCTCCAACTGTAGTTTACTTCACTTCTCAGACTTCTCTCAATAACTGCCCTGAGCTCACCATGAAGGAGATTTCTACCTGCCTCCAACATCTTACTTAACCTGAAACTATGCACATTACATGTGTTGTGTCCAAACTGTTATTCATATATGTAATGTTGAAAGTGATCAAGTTGATCTTCTGTAAACATTGAGTTCAGGTAGGAATCATGATTATTTTTTCCAGGGTATGTAATCAATCACCTTTCTCAGGTTCCACCATGTCTTGATGAGAGGAGCCACTTTATTTTCAGATAACTCTAATCCTGAGAAAGCCCTTTCCTACATATATAACTGTAAAGTAGCTTCCTGAAACTTTCACAAATTCTTCTGGTTAGTCTTGAGTTCTCTAAAGAAATGAACTAAAATTTAATTCATTATCAGTATGTGAAATTTGTGAATGAATGAATATTCCCATTCCTGTCAGTGCTACCAGGAAAAGTCAGAATGTCACATTGAAGATGGAAAGAGAGCAAATCCAGTGAAGGGTTAATCTCTGAATGGCACCTACAGGCACAAGTGTACATATCAGGAGAAAGAGGCAGGGTGTAAGTTCAAAAGGACCTGGTGATGCAAGATATTCTGTAATTATTTTTTTCCTGTAACCCACACAGTGAAAACTATCAACTTGCATGCTAGAGAACTCAATGTGGCAATACAAAAGAAATTATAATAATACATAGGCAATTTACATATTCACAATAATCAACATGCATAATATTAAGTGCAACTCATAAATTTGCGTGGTAAGGTCTGTGTGGTTACAACACTAAGCTTTATCCTGTAAGCTCAGTCTTTCACTGCTGGTATAATGAGATCATTGACTACCAATTTAATGACCCTAAAGAAAGCATAAATTACTTGCCTACCAGGTTATATTTAGAGCCAGAAAAATACTTTCTTTCTAATATTCTTCTAGTTCTGCTGCTCAGTTATTTTGTACCCAGGTTTTTTCTAGTTCTGCTGTTAAGGTTATATCTGAGAGCCTGCCAGTGGCATATCTCCCCCATGGAACCAGGTCTACCTTTTCCCCAATGTGATGATTTCTCTAAGTCCTGCTATCTTTCCTCTTTAGACCAGGAACTTGCCTTGATTTTACAATATCCTCTGATTTCACCTCAACTTTGTATAAGATCCTATGAGATCAGGAAACCTGCAGCAGATTATTGAACACATTTTTACACAGATTTAAAAAAAAAAAACAACTGAGTTTTCATCTCAAACATCTAAACCTAGTGAGTCCTTAAATACAAGAACGGAAGAATAAACACTTCACCTCTGTTTCCAGGAATCTTCTCAAGGCTCTTTTCTTTTTGATACTCTTCCTTCTGACATAAACTGCGAATGTCAGACCCACAATGACCAGGATGAAAAGCCCACCGATGACTCCAGCTGCAATTAGAGGAGTCCTGCCAACCAGAATGGGGAAAAAGAAAGAATGAAAAGAGAAAAGACCAAGGAAGGGAAACAACAGTCATTCAAGACATGATCTAAATATCAAAATCTAGTCAGTTAGAAGAAAGGCAAATAAAAATGCATTAGGGCTGTTACAAAATTCTTCTCCTGTTATAAACAGTATTTGTTTATGCTTCTGTTTTATTTTTCAATAATAAACCATGCATATACAACTGGTCTTTGGGGGATGAGTAAGCCACAGCATGCCATATGATGAGACAATGCAAAACTTGGTCACAATGAAGAATGTATGTCAAAATGTTGATATAAAAGCAGTACATACAGCTATACATAAAGAGAAATACATTTCAAAATATTGTTTCAGTACGTAAAATTATTTTTGGCATTTTCTCTAATGCAGGCTTTCTCAACAGTGGCACTATTGACATTTTGCACTCGATACTTGGTTCCTGTGGGGAACTGTCCTATGCATATTAGGGTACTTAGCAGCATCCTTGACCTTCATTCACTACATGCCAGTAGCACCTCTGCCCTCTAGTAATGAAAATATCTCTAAACAATGCCAAAAGCCTGCCAAAAGCATCTCCACTTGAAAACCACTACTTTATTTTTTTAAAGATTTATTTATTTATGCATGCAAGAACTGGGGTACAGACCAGAGGTGCTGCAGGGTGAGAGGATTCATTAGGGACAGAGTGGGGAGCAGAGCAGACTGACTGAAATACACTGCTGAGGGGAGCAGTGGGCAAGACAGGAGAGGTCTGCTGCACCATGTGGGTTGCTCCCTGGCGGGCTAAGGATCCAACTTTTGCTGCAGTGGCTGGGGATAGCTTGATAGTGCTGTCTTTAAGCCCCGCACCACCAGAGAAGCCCTGAGGACCACTACTTTAAAGGGAAAATGAGCAGTCTTCAGAAACATGAACTCCACGTCCAGAATACAAGGGTACTGGTAAGAAAGCTGTATTGGGGCCTCCCCGGTGCCTCATCAGTTGAGCGCTGGGCTGCAAGGCTGCCCACAGCCTCTGCAGCACCGGTTCGATCCCCGGCCACGGGGCAAGGGTCCCACATGGCGTGCAGACCTCTCCTGCTGCCCGCTGCTCCCCTCAGCAGTGTACTTCGTCACTCTGCCTGTTCTTTCTGCTCTGGTGAATTCTCCACCCTCCTGTGCCTCTGACTGTACCCAGTGCTTGTATAAATAAATAAATAAATAAATAAATAAATAAATCTTTTAAAAAAAAAGGTTGTATTGCCAGAACTGTTATCTCAAAATCTAGTAAGGGCAACCCTGACAGGAGAATGAGCACAAGAAAGATAAAGAACTGGGTCATGCAGGTTTTCATAGCTATGATGACAGGAGCAGGTGTTAATATCAAAAATGTATCTAAGCATCACATACACATAAAAGAGGTGTGAGCACTAAGTATTACATAAAAAGATGCAAATAGTACCAAAAGGGATTAGGATGAGTCTACTTAAAGATTTTAATTCTTAAAATGTTTTTCAATGTATTATTAGCAAAACTATAATTTTATAACTTCCTGATCACTTATTGTTTAAGATAATTTTTGTCCTTGCTTGTGAAATAAAATTTGTTGCTTTAACACTGTTCTAAGTAGAGTAGTATATATGAGCTGTCTGTGGTCAGAGTCCTGAAATATATTAATTTCGTAAGTCATAGTCAGTAGCTGAGGGTAAAACATATAGGTGCCATCTAATACATATTTGACTATAAGCAGTAACAGATGTCAAGATTAAAAAGTAATTCTCTGAATGTCTGTTTTCCTTAGTAAAACATGTTTTATGTTCCTATTTTCAGAAAATTCTGCTCTAAACATTTATATTCTTTTAGAAAAAAAATTATTTGAGAAATAAGCTTCTCCTCAAAGACATCAGAAATAATGATAGTTGATGATCCTAAAATTATAGGATTTAAAAAAAAACAAGTCTTGAAAATAAAAAATCTGTGCAACTCTATAAATGAAGTCATGTCTTTTAAAGATTATAGAGTCATAAAACTACAGAAAAACCTTAAAAAGCAGTTCATCTTAAAGGTTATTTTCTGACAGCTGAAAGTACTACAGCATACTGAAATGTTGGTATAACTCAACTAGATTTTCCTAAATGGAATTTTCTCAAGATATAAAAATCTATGCTAAGAAAATTAAACTATAGTGTGGACACACACTCATCACTGTGATGTGTTTTGGTGTGTGTAAGACCACATTTTTGAGCATGCCAGTTAAATATGTATTTTAAAAATGTTTTAAGTTTTCAACCCAAGGCATAATTTTCAGCTCTGATGCCTAACATATCCCTGAAAACACACTGTTTTAAAAAGGATTGTATTTTTATTTCTGTTACCTGATTCTGTACTTCAATGGATTTATGCATGATTGAGAATAGTGCCCCAAATTTTGTTAATATAGATTTGAACCAACTCTAAACTTTTTCTGCTTACCTATTTTGCAAAAGAATACCTTGCACACATCTATGAAAATGTATCAATGTCAAGGTGAATTAGAAGAAAATGCTTAATTTTGTTCTTGCTTGTTTTTCATTTTAAGAAAAAACATTTTCAGTGGAACAGAATAAAACCTGTCTCTCTTCTCTTCATCCAATTCATGTAGATATCAATTGTCATGTCATTGCAATTTAGGCTGGCAATGACAATGAAAATAAAACATTAAAAAATCAATTGACAATACTTTCCATGTTTTTCTAGCTAGCATTCACTTTCAATATTTCCCCATAGCACTTTATTCGTTGATTTGGATTTTTTTTAACTTTCTTAAAAAAATCTTACAAATATGAAGAAACGGTAGATTTACAAGCAACCTGAAGAATAAAAATGTAGTTTTTGAACTTAAAATTATACACAAATGTTTTGTGGGATATTTTAAGATGAAAAATTCCTCAGATTTCAGGAGAATTTACTCTTCAAAAACAAACTTTCAACAACAAGGAAGCAACCTGTCAAATCAAGACAGGGGAACAGTCTATAAGATAGCCTGCTCACTCTCTTTAATAAGTGAATGTCAAGAAAAAGGCACTGGTTTTGACTAAGAAGACTTACTAGTTATGACAACCAGATATGAAATGCAATATTGGATTAGATCCTAATTTGGAAAATTCAACTTTAGGGATATTATTGAGACAATTTGAGAAGTTTGAACATGGATTAAGTAGTAGATGACATGAACATTGGCTAGAAAAATCACCATAAAATAGAAATGAAAAGAATAGGCTACAAAACGGTAGGATCTCAATTAAGAATTTTTAATTCCTAATTCATATATATATATATATATACACACACACACATAAATACTTATGTGCATGTGTATATATGTCAAAAGATCTGATATATATAATAAGTTATTTTTTAAAGATTTATTTTTATTTATTTAGGCATATAAGAACTGGAGTGTAGGCCAGAGGTGTGGGGTGGGGTGGTGAGCAGATTCACCAGAGACAGAGTGGGGAGCAGAACAGGCAGATCTACTGAAATACACTGCTGAGGGGAACAGTGGGTGAGACAGGAGACGTCTGCTGTGCCATATGTGTGTTAGCTCACTGGCCAGGGAGAGAACTCATGCCACAGTGGCTAGCAATAGCTTGATAGCACTGAGAGTTTAACCCCTTCACCACTGGGGGGTCTTACAATAAGTTATTAATTGATAGTATGATTAGTTATCACTTGATAGTATGATTATAGTGTTCTTAATTTTTGTATTTTTTACTAATGTGCATTTTCTCATATTCTATAATACACATCTTTTGAAATAAAAGTGTATTAAATTTGGGAAAATACAGAAAAATGATATTTGCCTAAAGTTAAGCTTTATAATTATGGCCTTCTTTTCCTTTTTCCTTGAATATTTACTTTGCACTCTGCAATTAAGTCTTAATTTTGCTATTCCCTGTCCACTTTTATAATCTAAGTACTTCTGCATATATTTTATATTCATTATACTTTAATGTGTCTGAGACATTTAATTACCATTATGTTTCTTACAATTAACATTATGCTTCATAGAACCAACCTAATCTTTTAAAAACTTAATGCCATTTACACATTTCCTATTCTGCAATTTTAATGCAACCTAGATATATGTAGGTGTAGGACAGATGTCCATTTTTACTGATAGTTAATACTTAACTCTTTAAGTCTCTTTGGATAAAGAGAATATTGTTATATAAGTTGCCTCTTTTAATTTCTATATTTCCCTTTGAGGGTCAATGTTGGCCAACTAAGCTATAATTTTCAAAGAGAATGTTTTTCTCTTACATGTGTGTCAAAGGAACCTCTAAGATGCTGACTATGTATGACATTATTAATGAGATCACAGGGGTCAAACACCAAGAGATCTAGCATAATTTACAAGCCTTTATCTGCAAGAGGGACATTGTTGTCTTTTGCCTGTTTATTTAAAATGTCTGGGAGTCCTAGAGTATAAAAGGTAGGACATTTCATGTGCCAAGTCCAAGCTTGGCCTAAAAGGATGCAATTACTTGATAATTTACCTTATTCTATGATTGGGAAATAGTATCATGAAACTGGTATCTCTTCTTTACTCATAAAAATTAATATAGTAAGGATTCTGCATCACAAAAGTACTAGCTAATTTATTTAAAAGTATATAATTGTATTTTCATAATTTCATTTAGAAGTTGAGAGACAACACAATGTATTATATTCTATTGCCTTGAATGCAATTGCCTGTCTTAAGCAGGTAAAAATGAGTGTATTTCCCTATACAATTACTCATATGACAAGATGCATTCTTGTCATTCATTATTATATTTGAATCATGTTATTACTCAGGGGAGAATATAAGATATGAGAGAATACATGGAACCTGCTTTTAGAAACAACCAACTATTATCCTTCACTATATGAGTCTATCATAAAGCAGAATTTAAAAGTATCCTACACATACTTCCTTCCAGATATCAAATCATTTCATTTGTAATCAACTTGCTTCTTGATTAA